TCTCCTAAGAATCAGAGACCTAACTCCCTTCCCTGTGTGTGAGCCTAGTAGCTCTGCCTCTCGCTATGTCTCCCAAACTCCCTTGTTTTGCTGGATTTCCACATTATTCTCCAACAAGCAGATGTCACATTATGTCTTCCATTTGCTCCTGTGACCCCAAGTGCCAACTCTGGAAGAAGTTTTCTACTGGGAAAGCCATCATGGGATTCAGAATTCTTGGTCCCAGTTGGAGGAAACCCAATCTAAATCAATATTAATTGGAAAGCTGGAAGCTGCAAAGCTGGGGTGTCTCTTACTTTAGGATCCAAGAGCTCAGATCACATTCTTCCCCCTGGCTGTGTCTTCTTTTCTCTTGACTCTGCTTTTCTTGGTGTCAGCTTTGTTTCAAGGTTTGCTCTTTCCCAGCAGAACCAGACACCTGCCAGCAGCTCTAGACTTGGGTTCTGCTACCTCAGTACCCCAGGGGAAAAGTTTCTATCTTTCCCAAGAGTTCCAACAAGAATCCCAGGTTGGAGACCCACTAGTCAGACATAGGTGATATGTGTGCCCAGGAACCAATTGTCTTAGCCAGAAGATGAAATTCTGGTTTGGCCAGGGCTTCCTTTGTCCTGGGCCTGCGCTTAAATGGAAATCAACTTACCTGAACTTTATGGGCTCGGACTGTGGGGGAGGGAGCTTCTCCAAAAGAAAATCAGGGGGAACTGCGTGCTGTACACACATTGCTGTACAAACATTGCAGAGGTCATGCAACTGTTCTGGGGACCAGCCTGTCCAGTTATGCCCGGGCCCTGGGTATGAACCTGCCCAGGCTGAAGCTGAGATTGTGGTTAGCTGTAATTACTAATCTTCTCCCAATGTTCTAGAAACTGATAGCTAAGACAGTATTCTTCCTCATGAAGATTTGTAATAGAAATAAACAAAACCTGAGTCCAAGATATGTTGCCCTAGTAGGGGGGTTATAGATTTAATGGCAGGGCAGTGGAGAAAATCTTTTGAATCCAAGAAGACATTTGGAGATCTAGAGCCTCCTAAGCAGGTACCCACTCATTCTGCCTACACTCAGGACCCGCGTGTCCTTGACTTCATTTCAAAGTCATTTATCCATGGCTGGGCTGCACGGTCAGAAGCAGAGGGAGCCCAGGTAAAAAGGAGAGAATTGGTTGTGGGCAGTAAAACAACACAGTTCTTCCCTGAGGTCCCCTCTTCACTCTTTTTTCCCCCTCTCTATCTCCTTCTCCTCCTCTCCCATCACCATGGCAACTAATGATGCTCCCTGCTTCTCTTCCCTCTCCAGCTCCCCAGTCCTCACTAGTGTTTGTCTGATCAACCCTGTGGAGCAGCTGCCAGCCTCTCCCTACCTCACCGTCTGCCTTACGCAGCCTGGGCCCCCACCTCACGCAGGCCAGGCCCCCACCTCAGGCAGCCTGGGCCCCCACGTCACTCAGCCTGGGTCCCTGCCTCACGCAACCCGCCCCCACCTCATTTTCCTGCTCCCAGGCCTTGCACTTTCCTTAACCTTGATGCAGGATTTTACTGAATTTCTGTTTCCCTTCAAGAAACTGCATGGAAATGAGATTTTGCCACTCTAACCTGATTTGAAATGCATTTAGAGTTCTGTCTCTCGAAACACCTCAAGGTGAGGCAGTTTGCAAAGTGAAGAAGCTTCTGTGCTCACACATTGCCTGGGGTGTGCCACGTGCTTTCTTGCACCTGAGTGCACCCCAACATCTGGCAAGTCTCTGAGTGAAATGGAGACTCTCTCATGAAGGAAATTACATCCCAAGTTCAGAAACTGTGAGCTGGGAGTCCTGCAGACATTTCAGTAAACTGAAAGGATCACTTGGCCTTCTACCAGGCACCTGCTCCTTTCTCAGAATAAGCCCAGGCCTTTTGGGCTTCAAAGAAGAAGTCAGGCATGGCTGATTCAAGAAGGAGACCCTGGGTTCAAGTTATACTCTCTTTCCTGGGATGGGAGCATCTCATAGAGAATTGGGGTAGAGTGGGGTGCAGAGGAAGCTGTCCAGGCATGAAATAGGTGGCACAAAGTGTGTTAGGCAGGACACTGTACCCCTGGGAATTTGGTAAAGGTGAGGTCCCTTCTCCAGAATCCTCCATAGGATGCTCTTGCTCATATGGCCTTTCTCAAGCTGCTCTTATATCCAATGATTCTCCCTTATTCCCTGAACACTGATTGAGCTTTTGTGGTCTCCCTGTTGGCTCCCAGCAATGTGGTGGTCCAGAGAGCTTCACTGTCATCAACTCTGTGTGCTCCAGAGCTGGCTTCAGAGAGTTACATCTTGGGGGCAGGCAGCAGGTGCTGGGGTGGAGGCGAAGCTCTTGAAGGACGCCCGCCCCCAACTCCTTGCTCAGCACTTGCTGCATGGCTTCCTGGTGGCTGGTTTCCAAGGTCTGCTCTGCCCCAGGACCTTACAAAGGCTTCTTTGATGACAAGTTGGAGGCAAAGTGACTGTGTCATTTGATACAAGAGGCTCACGGGGGTTAAAGCACGCTTTCTTCTCCTATTTTTGGCTTTTTTTTTTTAATTTTTTGTCCGGAGGGGGGAAAATGGTCAGCTGAATGGGGCTGGGGCGGAAGCCAGGAGGGAAAGGAAATGCCACCAACTTGGAGACCCGGACTTCTGTTAGTTTCGTGATTAGCAGCTGGAAATTTGGAGTGTGCCCTGCACATTAAGAGCTGCCTCCTGCCCAGCCACACTCTGCTTCCAGAGCTGGGTGGTGTGCTAGAGTTCCTTGACCTTCAGGAGACCTTGCCCATTACCCCAAAACTTTCCAAATGCACATGACCTTCCCCTCCCTCCTGCTGTAGGAGCAAGGACCAAGAACAACTTCTCTCAGGCTGGGATTTGAGAGGCGGAAAGATATCCCTGGGCCCGCCTCCAAGGCTGACTCCAAGAATAGCGCACAGGGACCCACACTTGGTTACTACTTTGTTGTCACCATAGTGGAATCCTTAATATATTTGAAACAATGGACCGTGCATGGCTCCTTGGCCTCAGGCTTCACACATTCTGGAATCAGCCCTTCCCCACCTGTCCCAGGTCTGGGAATGCAAGCCAGTGATTCCTTCACTTCTCATCTCTTACTAACACCTCTGACCCATGAACACACTAAATTGTCACCCAACTCAATGAGGGGCTGGCAGCTTCAACTTGTGGCTGTCTGCAGAGATCTGTCCAAGAATGCAGGTTTTTGGATCCCACCTGACTGCTCTCTTTGAGAGACAAAAATGTCTTCTTCCTGACATTACTCTTGTTGAAGTGGAAATCCCTAAGTCTGGGCTGGCACTGTGGGGTAGTGGGTAAAGTCACTGCGACACTGGCATCGTACATGGGTACTGGTTCGAGCCCTGGGCTCTCCTCTTCTGATTTGGCTCCCTGTTAATGACTTGGGAAAAGCAGTGGAAAATTGTCTGAATGCTTGGACCTCTGCCTCCCAAGTCTCCATAGGAGACTTGGATGAAGCTCCTGGCTCCTGGCTTCAAGTTGGTCCAGACTTGGCCATTGTGCCCTTCTGGAGAGGGATGCAGTAGATGGAAGATCTCTCTCCCCCTCACTCTGTGACTCTTCCAAAGAAATCTTTAAAAAGAAATCTCCCTGTCCAGACTCCACTTTGGGAAGCCCACCAGCCCTCAGAGGTTGTTTAATAAGTCCTGGCCACCAACCTGCACCTGCTGTTCCTTCGGCTAATTAAATCTAAAGAAGTCAGACTCTATAAATTATGCAGTAAGCCTTGGCCAGAACAGCTTCAAAATGGAGGAGCCATACTTTTCTGCTATGCCCTGTGGAAAAATCCCATCTTTTAATCATGCTTAACCTTCCTGAAGGAACAGTGGCAACCCTTAAATAATGAATGAATGAATATTAGCAGGAGTTGCCCAGAGCTATAGCACAGGAGCCAGATCAAAAAAGAAGACAGAGGCTGACACTGGCCTAGGAGGTCTGGGTCTTTCTGGGGAGTCCCAGGTGCCAGGTGCAACGGCTGGGTTTCTTAGCAGCTTCAGGCAAGGACAGAGGCAGCAGAGGAAGAACCCAGGCAGGAGCAGGGGCAGGGGCAGTCCTGTGGAAGCCCTGGATCCCCTTCTTGACAGTGCATGGGAAGTTCAGCCACCCTGGACCTGTGTCAGATGCTGATGGGAGCTTCCCCTACATTCTCACAGTCACACACTCAGTCATTCTCTCTGCCTCTTCTGCTGCTTCTTTACTCCCCCAACAAGACTGTCTAGGTCAAGAGCATATCTTCACTACCAAAGGTCAGCTGAGCTGAGTCCTGTCACATGGTCCAGGCTTCTATGTACATCCAAATCCTACTGAATGTCCAAAAAGCACCCGATTCAGGGCTCTGAGTGGGGCTAGGGATGCTGCATATCTAGGAGGCTTCCTAGGTGGGATGCTGATGTTGCTGGCACCCAGATCCCCGGCTGAGCAGGGTCAAGTCTTAGAAGTCTCCCTTGGTCAAGTCTTAGAAGCCCATTAGGATGAACCAGGGTGCTTTGAGGGTGTGGAAGTCGACCCTGGATACCATCTCAGTTCAATGAAAACTCACACTTGGTTGTGGGCCTTTCTCATGTATTTCTACTGAGTTAGAGGATAGATCATTCAGAGCCCAGGGAAGCCTGGAAGGTGTAACTGACTTGCTAGCAGCCACTTGCTGAAGTGGATTAAAAGCAGGAATGGCGGAGAAGTGGCTCTGGAATCAAGCCTGCTGCCCCTGGCCCCAGTGTAGGTGTCAGCAGCCTCTTCAACTCACATCCCAGCCTTGGACTCCGGGCTAGACCCTAGAAAACACCCTTTGGGGAGCAGGAAGTTACCTCCCATGTTTCATACCTTAAGCCTGAAGCTCAGCCAAGCGCACCTCCATTGGGAGTCCCCCGCAGCCTAGAAAATCAAGGCCTTCCTTCTGTGGTGTGTGGTCTGCAGGGCAGTGTTGGGCCCTGCTCAGATTGGCTACCGCCCGAGCTCTACCTGACTACCTCAGCCCTATTCAGCATTCAGGCCTGCAGCTGGGGAAGGAGCTTTCAACATGGGGGGTGGTGAGCACGGTTATTTGTTCCTTTATCCCCTCTACTCGCTGCCCTCCCCTCCTCCCACCGACCAGCAGAATCTTGATTTTCTTCAAGGCTGCCACAGAGTCTGGGTAAAACCTAACACCTGAGATGCTCTGCACCAGGGAGTAGCCACCTGACCTTGTCTGACCAATGAGACGTAAGCACACAGCGGCTGGGTGGGGCTTCTTGGAAAGCGTATAAAGGGCGGTTTGCACCTGGCGCTGCCGAGTTGGTGTTAAGGTAGCCATGTTGACGACGACGGGGGTTGAGGCTGTTGAGGCAAGGGGGAGACCCAGGCTCTCTGGGACTTGGCAGAGCAGTTCCAAGGACGGACCACTCGGTAAGTGAGGAATCTTGGTCTCCATGTGGGTAAGCCACTGAGGCTGGCTTCTTTCGCAGCTGAAAGCAACTCTCAAGCTCAGGCTCTCTGACACAGTATCTCTGCTGGCCGACAGGAGGGAAGGTCCAGGCGAGAGCAGAGTGGTTGGCAGGAGAGGGTGGAGGTGGCCTGGAAGGCTTCCTCCCTCACCCTGGGCTCCCGGGAGCTCTCCACCTTTGCACTCCTCACAACAGGGGAGGCTGGTTTATTCACTACTTTTTTTTTTTTTTTTTTATCACTCTCCTGGGCATTCTGCTTAGCTTTCCTGGAAGGTCGTGGCTTCTCAAGGCAGGATCTTTAGGAGCCTGGCAAGAGCCCAAGCTTGCGGTCCGGTCCGTCCTGGGATGAACCATGGCCTTGGGCCTGTCGGTTACCACTTAGCACCTCAGTGTCCTGATGTGTGAGATGAGGTTTTGTCAACAGAGTTGCTGTGAGCATTCAATGGGGTGCCTGTGCCCTGGAGTGCCCGGGACTGCCTGGAAGGCTGGCTTGTTGCCTGGTTAGCTGTGCTGTTCTCCTATCCTCTGTATCTTTGGCCCTCCTGATTGCTGGCTTTGCATTTGAACCAAGACACCTGTATTACATTTGGGTGGCGTGACCATGACTCGTGTGCTTGCAGGGTGGAGGCGGATTTCATGGCTGTAGCTAATTATGTGAGAGGAGACACGAACTTAATCGCTCGAGGGAGTTAATGGAGTCTTTCTCTGAAGATCAGGAAAATGCCAGGTTTCATCTGGCAACAGTGGGACGGACTGAACTATCTTCCGGCTCAAACTCCCTCTGCGTGCTAACTGCGTCAGCAGGCAGGCCTTAAGCTTTTTGCCAGTCTCATGTCGTCCTCTTTCACCTCCAACTCATGGATCAATTAAGATGCTTGTGACAAGTCTCCCATAGCAAGAAGTTCTAGCACAGAAAGTCTAATGAGAAAAGACAGCTTTATTACTTCCATGTTGAACACCTGCCACATGCTATGCATGGAGGTGGATGTATTGAATCCTGTGCAAAATGAGAAGTTGCTCTGGACTTCAGTGGCATCATAATGTGCTCTGACACTGAAATCCCCAGGTAGACTTTCTCCCCGTGGCTTCACTGAGCATCAGCGGGCCCAGGGGAACAGAAACACATTCTTTCTCTTAAAGGAGAGCCCTAGCCAGGAAAGGGGAGGCCTCCGGATGGGTTGGGTTGATTGCACAGCTGTGTCTAGCCTCATTCAGTTGGCCCTGCTAGCGCTAGAATAGTCTCCTGTATGGGTCAGCTGCCTGGGCTTCTGGGGACCAGCTGACAGTTTGTGAGGGGTGTGTGTGTTGCGGGAGGGCTCCGGAAGCTGGTGACTAGGGCAGCTGAACTTTGTTCTCTGTGAGCTGGGGGACTTTATTTTGTACCTCCCTGTGGTTCCCCCGATGTTCCTTGTAGCTATTTCAGGGTGTATTTGGGAACTTGTGAACATCTCTATTGTGGACAACTTTGTGTGTGAACTGGCATGTTTGCTTTTGGGTTAGCTTTCCAATCAGGCTAGTAGATGGTGGGTGCAAAGGAAGTGGGTGTATGTGCGTGTAGCTTTGAGGGTTGGGTTGTTTGTGTCTACTTTTCTCTTCCCACTTTTCCAGTAAAGTAGCCTTGATGACATCTTTGGGCCAGTTCAGACATTTAATTCCTCTTCCCTCTTCTACCTGCTTCCCCCAAAGGATGCACTATAGTGCACTGGGAGAAAATCCCTTGCTACAAGGTCCCGAGAGGCCTGTTTTGGGCTCTGAGAGCTCTGATGGATCCGATGGGGGGAGTCTACCCACAGCCCCCAAGTCTGCATGGGTGGGGGGTTGTGGCTCTGTTCAGGTCCAGCGCTACGCAAAGCCTTGTCAAGGTAACATGTTGGTAGGAGCTCAGGAGTCTCATTGCTGGCACTGGCTTCCCGTGGTCACTGTGACAGACTGGTATGAGCCATGATTTCTACTCTCCCAGCTGCAGTGCTCAGAGATCTGAAAGGGACCTGCAAGATTGGATTCCTTCCTGAGGTGTTAGGAGAGAATCTGGCCTCTTCAGGCATCAAGAAGCTTTCCACCTTCCTTGACGTGTGGCCTTGCATGACTTTGTCCCTAGAGTCCACAGTCTCATCCACTCTGTCATCTCAGTCCCTTCTTGTAAGGACTTTGAAGATGACATTGGTCTTTACCTGAACAATCCAGGCTCAAGGTCTCTAACAGGGAGGTAACACATGCATTCCCAGTTCTGGGACTGGAGCATCTTGGGGATAGCATGGCAGTTTAGCCCCAGGTCCACCACCATCTTTCTACTCCCAGAAGACCTACAGACATGAGTGTTTGTGGTGGTAGAACCCATGCCAGCTCAGCTACAGTAGGATCGTGTGACCCTGGAAAGCTTTGTTACCCCCTATTCCCCACAGGTGCCCCTCTAACTGGCCACCTTCTTATATCCTCCTCTTATGGTACAGCATGGTGGTATAGGGACCCTCCTACAATGGGCCTGCACGTGTTTCTTCACACTCAGCTGTCATTGGCTGGCAGCAGAGCCCTCTTTGACAGCAGGTTCTGACAGAAGGGAGGTACAATGTACAGGAGCTGGGAGGGCTGGGACTGGTTTGGGTCGTACCCCAATACCACTGGCATGGTGGTTCCCAGGGTAGAGAAAACAAAGATAGCTGGAAGTAGGACCACAGCGTTTTAATCAAACAGAGCAAGATGGCGGCAATACAGAACAGGTAGTGCTTGGAGAAGAGAAAGAAGACCATCTCCTTGGTGACATAGATTGTATGAATAAAGATGAAGCAGTACAGGAACATGACAAACTGGTTCTGAGGGAGGAGGAGGTCCTGGAGGCCTCCCTGGAACTGTGGGGGAAAGAAGACAGTGGAGCTGGCAACACCAGGGCTGCTGCCAGACCGAGCTGGGTTCAGTTCTGCTCTGTCCTTCCCTGCGTGTGCCCTCGGGCAGGTGGGTGTCCACACCTAGGGAAAAGGTAATAGTGCCCCACTTCACGCGATCGGGAGGGAGACAGCCCATGAGAGCTTCCTGGGAAGTGGCTGGCCCACAGAGGGAACTTGTTGTTACTGATTTTACTTCTTGAACCTGTTCTGACCCTCTGCAGACTCACCCTCCCCTCATCTGAGTTACCCATGTGGCACTCTCTCCCTGATGCCAGGTTCCCTGGATTGGGGAAGCTGGGTCCTAGAGTCTTCTTTGCCCTGACACTCCACCTAGTTTTCTGGATACTGGCCCTACAAGAGGCATTAAATGTCAGTAACCCAGTGGCTCTCAGGGTATTGTACATGTCCCCATGAACTAGCCCCTGGTCCTTCAGCCCAGGGTTTGGTTTCCCCTGGGGACAGGTGCCAAGAGGTCTTTTAAGTCCCAAGTGCTCCGAGTGTATAACTTGGGGGAAAGCAGCTTGAATGATCTGGCTAGCTCTGCCTAGGAATTGCTCTTTTCTGAGATGTATATAATTGGGGTCCAGTAGACTTCATTTAACTGTAGAAAGCATAAATGCATATGTAAGGGGAACACTGGTATAGCTATGCTGAGCTATAGTTAGGAAGTCTCATGGCAGACTTTGTTTCTTAAAATATTTTGAAAAATCTTGCCACATTTGCTGAAAGAAGCCTCAGGCAGAGACTGAGATGTGCTAAACATACTGAAAGGAGTAGTTTCAATGCCACAGAGTCCATCCACCCATCCAGAAGAGAGGAAGCCTTCTAAGCTCCAAGCCAAGCCAACTCCCTTATCTTTTAGTATATGCACAAAAAGTAAAACACTTGTGTAAACTCGTAGCAGAGGCCAAGGTCTTGCATATACTGCTGAAAGCATCTTGTAACATGGGCAGGTGACTAAACCTGAAGGGAGGGGCAGCAAGAGATTCCAGTTATGTCAGCTGCAAGCGCATGGCCAGGCATGTGGGGGACCAGAGAGGGGAAACCCTAATGCTCTCCTGGGAACAGAGGGCTGGAGCTATCCAACAGGACTCCATGGGCTAAGTGTGTCTCCAGACGCACAGCTTCTCTGCTCCTTTTGCCATCTACCTGTGCTTGGTGTGAGGTGCTACTTGGGTGTAACTGATTTTGGGAACAATATGCACATGGGAAACCTTAAGACTTTTCAAAGCTACTTGTTCAGTGTGTGTGTGTGCTCCATCCTGACCATCAAGTTGGACACCTTCCTGCACCAACATAAACGTGGGTTTTCAGCCCACCTTTCTGCAAACTTTGAAATGCCCTTGCGCACCATACCGCCTGAGGAGGACGGCTTTCAAATGACCAAGGTGGAGGAAATAAGCTTGTGTGGAAGGAAACCCAAACCAAAGGCATGGTTGCAGCACCATTTCTCTTCCAGTAGTCTCAGGCTCCAATGAATTCTCTATTATCCAAGGATAATTCCCCAAGGGAAACCCAAGTTTGGAAATGGAACTTATCAGAATTAGAAAATCCCAGGAAATATGCCAGAATTGAGAAATGGACAAACTCCAGCTTTGCAAAATTGGGGGCTGGGGGGAGGTAGACTCTGAAAATCACTCAGGATACGATTAAGCAGGTAATTGTTTTGTGAACAAGAAAAAATATCACTGCTAAGAAGCCAGCATGTGTTCATTGAGAGCAAATCATCCAAAAATGAGCCCTTCCTTCATTCTGCTTCCTTCCTCCCCACCCTTTTTTTAAGGTGACTTGTCCATTGGAGAGAGGCTGTGGATAATACCTTCATTCCAGGAAGCTGTCTGACAGTGTGTCTCATGCTACTTTTTGACCAAGGTGGAGAAACGTGAATGGGGTTAGATGTAATTTGAGGGTGCTGGCTGATGCTAGTGGGTAACCCTGGTGAGATCTTCAGTAATGTTTACTTGAGATCAACATTTACAGCAGTGACTGGGATAAAAGACGGAAGGCGAGCTTCTCAGAAATGACCATGACTCAGAGTTGGGAAGCTAATTCGTTACAGTGCAAGTGAAAAGTGATTGCCCTTGGGTGGAAAAGTGGACCACGTGATAAGGGCCAACATTTATCGAGTGCCTACCTAATGGGCTGGATTCGATACAAAGTGCTTGGCATGCACAATTTCTCTTTGCTTCACAACAACCACCCTGTGAGGTCCTCAGAGGTTGCAGGGCTCGGAGCCCAGTCACACAGCTTTTGAACCCAGAGCTGCCTGACTTTCAAGCCCAGGAAATCCCGAGGTGAACAGTAATACCTGGTGGGAGCTAAGTGCATACGCTGCGTTACCTCCAGGGGGCACTTGTATCCCCATTAGGGGAGCTGGACCGATTTTGTGAACAACAGGCTGTTGGGGTAGGCTACCAAGAAGGGCAAACCCACCAAGTCGCCACAACCCTGCGGGGAGGCAGCATCCGTGGACTGCCTGTGGTGATTGTGGGGGGTTCACAGGCCTGGGTTTCAGGTTACCACTGGCCAGGACAAATTGAGAACAATGGAAGGTATTGGAGGAGGTGTGGACAATTTCTCCTTAAGCTATGAAGAGTGTTGTTTGGGTGTGGAGACCTGTGGTGGCCCCAAGAGAGTGGATCTCAGCTCCACTCATCAGGACTATGTGGGGGCACCTCAGGCAGGTGGCCCCTGGATGTACAAGGCAGAGCCCCCTGGCCACCTACCTGACGCACGGCCACCTGCTGCTGCAGCCTCTCCATGGCCTGCTGATGCTGTCGCTGCCGTTCATTCTCTGCGTGCAGGTACTTGAGCCGTGTCAGCTCAAACTCCATGCGCATCTTCTCCAGCTCTACCTCGGCCTTGGACTCCACCCCTGGGGCAGGGGCAGGGACAGGGGCCAGCTCCACTGCTTCAGGTCCATCGCCCGCCTGGCCTTTGGTGGTGGGGCCAGCCTTGGGCTGCCCTGGGCAGCCTCCGTCCTCGCAAATTTCCATCTCCTCCAGGTGGTCATAGGAGGAGCCGGGCTTCAGGGACTCGGCCTCCTGGGAGGCGGCACGAGATCATAGGGGAACAGTGAGAACTCAGGGTCCCCACAAATCCCCTCCCCACCCTCTGGACAGTGGGGTATTTGGAGGAGTTAAGAACAGCAAGGACCCACCCCGAGTTCATTCTGGAAGCACAGGTGCAGGGTGGGTCGGGGTTTGAGAGTGTTTGGAAGGAGCTGGGAAACCCACGGGGGACCAGCACCCTGGAGCTGACCTCCATGGGATGTCAGGCTTGCTAGGGGTTTTCAGGTCTCCCTGCTAGTAACTTCCAGGTCCCAACTTCTAGGCCAGCTAAACCCCAGTTCTTCTGGAAGGGGCTGCAGAGAAGGGAGAGTTGGGAGAACCTCAACCCACAGGGACCTGTGGAGTGGGATGAGGGGAGGCAGGTCCCACCCATCCACAGAGACAGGACAGGGCTGTGCTGGGTAATGCTAGGCAGGCTTTGGGTGTCTTCCCAATTTTGCAGGACCCGTGGGTCCTGGGCATAGAGGGGACACTTGTTGGGATGCAGGTCCCCTGTCCTTACTGACTGTCCAGGACCTCACAGCACCCTGGCTGCAGAGTGGGCAATGGGAGGACAGTCCCCTTACCACAGAGGCCCTTGGCTTCCCTTCAGGCACGGGTTCTCCTTGCAGCGGCTTGGGGAAATGGGGACAGCTCTCTCCTGCTCCCCGGCTTTCCATCTTCTCCCTGTCTTCCGTTGCCATCCAGGGAGCCCCAGCGCTGCCAGCTGGGCCCAGGGGACATCTTTTGAGACACTGATGTTTGGCCTCACCAGGTGTTGCAGCCTGGCTTCCATCACAATCCCCGTCCTCATAATAACCCACATTGTACCAGTTGCTAGGGCTCTTGGGGGGGGTGGGGCTTGAGGGGACAGGGTGGGGGGGTCCTCTCGGAGTGTGGGCTCAACCCTAACCCTAACGACTGCTTTGGTAAGGGGAACAGACACTTGAAACCCAGAGTTTTTCTGATCTGAGATCCCTGCCCTTCCCTGGCTTCTCTTTCAAATGCAGAATGTTGGGGGGAGCGGAGGGGTGCGTCACAGTTGACTCCTCAAGCCCTGTTGCCCATGGAGTACCCTTGATTTACCTAGGGGAGTCCTGACCTGTAGTTTCTCAGCATGTGGTCCCTTTGGAGAGGTCGATGTTAGAATGAGGCCATAGAGTGTGGTGCAGGGAGTAAAGCCACCATGTGGGACATCCGAATCCCTCCTTGGAGTGCTGGTTCTTGTCCTGGCTGCCCTGCTGACCCAACCTCTGCTCACGTGCCTGGGAAGCAGCCGATAGCGGCCCAGGTGCTTGGATCCTTGTCATCCACATGGAGGCCAGAGTGCAGTTCCTGGGCCCTGGATTCAGCTTGGCCCACTCTGGCTATCGAAGTGGAGGAACACCGTGTTGGCTCCTAACTGTTGTGGAGACTTGGAGAGTGAGTGAATCATGAATTAGTAGCTGGGAGATCTCCCTTCCCCTCTCTGTCACTTTGCCTTTCAAGTAGACAAATCTTTGAAAAAAAAAAAATAAGAACACCGAGTACTGGAATGTATAATAGGTGCTAAGGGTGGTTGTTATCAGTTATCAAACAACTGTGAAATCTCTGTCCTCCAGTAATAAATGCTTGTTTAACTCACATGTCTGCAGATCGGTGGATTGAGGCAGCATTCAGCGGGGGTTGGCCAAGGCAGCATTGTTCTCCAAGTGTGTGTCTCGTCTCCTTCCTGGGAACAGGGAGCCAGCCTGAGCGTGCTGTCTTTCAGCATTGGGAGAAGCACGAGAGAGCAGGGAACCAGCCCACGATCACTCCAGTTTGATACTTGTATGCACAGATTTCAGATTTGTTTTTAAAGTTTTTAAATTGGAAAGGCAGAGTAACAGAGGAGGAGACTCAGAGGTCTTCCATCTGCCAGTTCACTCTCCAGAGGACCTCAACAGTCAGAGCTGAGCTGATCTGAAACCAGAACACAGGAGCCTCTTCCAGCTCTCTCTCTCTCATGGGTGCAGGGGTCCAAAGCGTTGGCCATCTTCTGTTGCTTTCCCAGGCCAAAAGCAGGGAGCTGGGTCAGAAGTAGAGCAGCTGGATACAAGCCTTTGAACACATGGGATGCCAATGCTGCAGGTAGAGGCTTAGTCTACTATGCCATGGCACTGGCCCCTGATTTCAAAAAGTTTTCATACCAAAATAGACTTAACAGGTTTAGAGAACAGGGGATAAGAGGTGTGTGTGTCGGGGGGATGTGCTTCTGTCTGCTAGTTCACTCCTCGCATGGCTACAGTGGCTGAGACTAGGCCCCAAACCAAAGCCAGGAGCTTCATCTGGGGGTCTCCCCTGTAGGTTCAGGAGCCCAAGCACCTGAGTTATCTGCTCAATCTGACCAAGACACATTAGTAGGGAGCTGGATGGGAAGTAGAGTAACCAGGACTTGAATCAGTGCCCATATGGGATACTGGCACCACAGGCTGCAGCTTTACCGGCTGTGGCACAGCACCAGACGCTTTCTTTCGCATCTTTTGAAGTACACTTGTGCAGTTCATCCAAGCCAGTCATGTCACCAAATGCAAAAGAAGGCAAAATGTGCTGTATCCTTTAGTGAGTGAAATTGCAAAACCATAGGAGCTTAACAGGCAGGCTACCGAGGAGGCCAAGAGGTCAGCGATGACATGGTTGGAGGAGCTGGGGAAAGTCTGGGGAGAGAGGTGATGAGAGGTGGATGGGTGGGCTGGGGTTAGGGGAGAGGATTTTGACGGCACCCATCTCCTGCCATTCGTTGCTCCTCACGCTTCTTCTGCCGTTTCCCCGGTAGGCTCTCCTCCAGGGGACAAAGCAGGTATAGGTTCTCACTGCCCCCTTCCCACCTGTTCTTCAGGAAGAAGTGCCCCTGCCTCCTCCCCTGTGCTCAGAGGAACAAGGGTGGGCCACGGGGAGCCCAGCTGCCAGGAGCTGAGCCGGCGCTGCCTCGGGTGTGCGGAGGGGGGCCACGCTGACTCAGGACAGGGCTGGTGCACCTTTCCACTCGCTCTGTTGGTTCTGGAGTTTCTGCATCTCTTCCTCTCGCTGCTCACCAGCACCCATCCTCGCTTTTTCCCCCTTCCATCTCCGTTTCAAGGAATGCAGTTACTACTTTCTCCCAGCATCAATTTAACCCTCACTTCAGCCCTGGTTGCGTGGCTTCCCCACGTGCGTACTGTGCGGCTTGTCCAAAGGAGCCGAGTCACTCTGGTTTCCTCAGATTCTTAAAAAGAGGGAAGAATCGAAAGGATTCACGGTTGCTCCCTGAGGACAGAGCTTTCCAAACAGGACACAGTGGAAGAGCCCAGCCCACTCGAATCTGCAAGGATGGGGCGGCAGGGGTCCCGTGGTACAGTGCCAGCCTCAGATCCACCAGTGGGAACTGCAGGGAAGTTGGTTTCCCCAGAAAGGTAGTGGGTGTAGCCATGCTGAAGATGGATGGGGTGCCTTCAGAGGGTTTATATATATAGGTTTGGCAGTTAGCCAGATGGGAGACTGTGTGAGTACAGTCCTCACAGGTCTTTGTGATCTCATTGTGAGGTCATTGAAAGCAGGTGCAGTTCCCGCTGCCTGAGAAACCAGGCATGTGAGTCACGCAGAGAGGAGGTGATTTATGTCTGGGTGCAAAGGCGTTTGGCTGAGCCAGAACTGGTTTCCCCTCTCTACCGCCTGTTTGGTTTTTGTTTGCTTGGCTTGCAGTTGTTGTTTAGTCTTCTTGCTGCTTTTATTTGTTTGAGACAGAGGGAAGACTCCCGTTCTCTGATTTTCTCCTGTGAAATGTCTGTAACAGCTAGAGTTGGGCCAAGCCCGAAGCCCAGAGCTAGGTACTCAATCCAGGAACCTGAATCTTTGAGCCATCACCTGCTGCCTCCCAGAGCCTGCATGAGCAGGAAGCTACAGTCGGGAGTGGAGCAGACACTGTCCTTCCCCCTTTCTCCTTCCCTCTGCGGGTTTTATGTTAGACCTTAAGCTAGTCTGCGGAGTTCCAACTCTTAAGAGGTGAGGTGGGGTCATAAAGAACAAAAGCCAGCACATGCTTAGAGATTTTCCACAGCACTGTTTCTGGGAGGAGATTGGGTATCCAGGGTTTGCTTGGGAGGAAAGGTGATCACATCCTTGGGGCTGTGCCCGCGTCAAGATTACCATGCAAGTTGTTAAGACACAGGAGTAATGAACAAAGGAAGGAAGCTGCATCCATGCCAATATCTTTTTCCAGGACAGTTATTGAGAAGGAAACACTATCACGTATGAAAATATGGAAACCTGTTCATGGTCAGATGGTGCCTGGAAAGGCATGGGCCCTTGTTGTCTGCAGTGGGGAGCCTGAAGGGTCTGGTTCCCCAGGGGAAGGGGGCCTTGGTGTGCACCCGTCTATGCTCTGGCTACAAAGCAATGTGACATTTTCCATTATATTAACACATCACATTCATAGGTTACATTTGCTTTGTTTTTTAATTTGCACATAGAAATAGTGCATTCTTGAGTTGTGGCACAGCAAGCTGTTTTCCTCCTGCTCATCTGAGCGCTGGTTCAAGTCCCAGCCAAGGCATCTGTGAATCAGCACCTGCTGATGCATCTGGGACCTTGGCCCTGACACCCATGTAGGAGATCCTGAAGGAGCTCTGGTTTAAACATGAAAGCTTCTTTTTCTCCCTCTCCATCACTCTTTCAAATAAAAAACTTGGATGCCATGTGCAGTTTGGGTACGTGCACACACTGTTGAAATCAGTAAACACATCTACTCAAACACTTTGCAGTGAAAACATCCAACATACTTTCTCCTAGTTTTTTTCTCTTTTGGAAAAAAAATACTCAGTATATTGTCATTATCTGTAGTCACCCTGCTGTGAGACAGAAGAGCAGAATTTTTATTTCTGTCTAATTATAACTTAGTGCTCATTAATCAACACCCCCACCTACTCTCCCCTCTCCCTGGTAACCACCATTCTACTTGCAATTGCTGGAAGATTGGCTTATTTAGACTTCATATAATGCCACCTTGCAGATCTTGTCTTTCTGCATCTGGCTTGTTCCCCCTAACATAATGACTTCCAGTTCCATTCCTGTGGTTGCATATAACGAGTTCACATCCTTTGTGATGGCTGCCTGGAACCACGGATGTGGGCCATATTTTCTTACTACATTCATCAGGGTCTGGACGCTCAAAGGTTCTTTTCCTTTGTTGGCTGCGTAAATATTGCTATGATGCATGTGGGTGTTCTGATGTCTCTTCATCAGACTGATTTTTTTTTACTGTTTTTGCATGAAGACACAGTCCGGGGATATTCTGGGTCATGTAGCAGGTCTGCTTTTAGTTTTTTGAGGAATCTCTGTACTGTTTTCTACAATGGTTTAATAATTGATATTCCTATCAGAAGCGTGCTAAGGACCCCTTTTCCCACATGCTTGCTGGTACTTTCTGTTTTGTCTTTTTAAAGTTGATTTATCTGAAAGGCATCATTACATGGGTGGAGCATGGGTGCCGTGGAGACACACAGGGAATGAGATGCCACCTGCTGATTCAGTCCCCACATGGCTGCAACTGTCAGGGCTGGGCCAGGTAAAAACCAGGAGCTTCATCCTGGTCTCCTGTTGGGTGTCGGGACCCAATGACTTGATGCCTCTGCGGCTGCTGTCCCAGGAGCCATGCCACAGAGGCTGCCATGCCACAGAGGCTGCCATGCCACAGAGCTGGATCAGGGGA